AAAACTTCAGCCACAGTGATGTGATCCACAGGGGCAGATCATTACAACAATGTGGGCTTTAGAGGAACAGGATCCTGGATTTTACTAGTTTTGTATTCTGAAAAAAGTGATATGTTTACTCTAACCCATAATTATTACCCTGCAAGACTATCAGGAACTCAGACGCACTATGCAGTCTACAGGGAGCACTGCCCAGCACAAAGCAAGCAAAGCCTCTCCTTCCACATCTCCGGTTCTACCACCCAAACTTTCCCACATCTTAACACTTCTAAATTAGGGATGTGTCTTACATCCACCAGGTACACTTAAAGGGCACTGTATTTCTTTTTCTAAAAAGTGGTTATTCAACCCATGAAGTATCTAACAATGAGCAGTGCCTTTAAATGGAGGGAATTCAACAGTTTCTTTTCTTTTCACCTGCCATCAATATCACTGGCCTAGGTCAATGTTTTTCACACTTTTGGTCATGACCCATCAGTGGACTGTAAAGTCAGTTTGGGATCATAAAGACCATTAACAAAGTGGCAGAGTGGATATGAAATGCACATAATAAAAGGAAGAATTTTTTCATGGACTGTGTGTGTGTGTATGCATATGTGTATGCATGCATATATACAGATGTACAGAAAATGTATTTCTGGTCAAATGGGTATTGAAAAGCACTGGACTAGCTGAAATACATAAATTTAAAGCAGGTAAGTGTGGTCCTGATAGGCAAACACCATGATGGCTTTACCATTTTAGATCAAGAACTTGAAGAAGCTAAGTTGGTAGGGGAGGAAGGGTCAACTCAAGGGGGAAACGAAGCATGAGGCATAAGTGAAGAGGAAAAGGTACAGGTAAGGACAGGGGCAGAGTGAGTGAGTCTGAGCACATGCAACGCACCCACACATGCACGCTCATGGGACCAAATGTGGATGTAGTCCCTTCCCCCACTAATCTAAGCTCCTTATAAGGACTTACAGTAGGCTAGGAAAGAGAAATTGTATAATTCTCTAAAACATCAAAGAGGAATATTCACTT